TGATTATGTTTTCAAATGAGTTGTGGTGTTTGCTATCCCACTGCAAAATATTTTTCCCTTTGACATTAGCTAGGATTATACTTTATAAATTTTTGCCTTTCTCCACATACAACCTTTATATTCATTTCTTAACCTCGGTGTTTATGTATTTTATTGAATTTTTGAAGATTGGATTCATTTTCAGCATTTGATCTGTTGCATTGACTTTGGGCTGGCCGCCCAACTTAAACATGGCTGCTACCCTTGGATGATGGCCTGACTGTTAATTATTTCCCCGCTGAAACTGCATTACCACAAAACAAATTTTGTTATAATGACATTAAGTAAAGACCACAGAAACCTGCCCAGCATTAGAAATTTTTTCTTGGCAGCTGTTTTATGCTTTTTCCTCACATAATCTACATCAAGAATGATATATCATTTAATATTTTACCAGCTCATGAATAAACAGGCCTTCTATTTTCCTTGATGTAAATATACAACATCAGCATTAAAGTAATTATCAAATCACAGACATTATCCTGTAATCTTTATAAATTCAGTCTCCCAAATAAGACAACATGTTTAAGCACAAAAAGGTTGAATTATATAGGGCTAAGGTTCACAGTGTCACCATACTTGTTTTACAGGGTATAACAGTTCTTATTTCCTTATCCCCAGACAAGCCTTGATACGTAAAAAAAGGTTTAATAAAATACACATTACTTATCTTTACAAATACAGCAATTTTAAGTCACAAAGCTGTTTATAAACTAGTCAAGACTGGAATGAAGCATCTTGAGGTGAAAGGGCAGAGCAAGAGGAAAATATGTCTCATTAAGAAGGAACACCCTATCGGTTCACCATTAGCATAACTGAAGGGCCAACAACATGTATTTTGATTGCTTATATCACAATTATGCAATTATGCTAATATATGTTAATGCCATTGCCCTTGAAAAAACTGCTTTCCTCTGTTAATTTAGGAAGAAGATCAATTATGAAGTCATATGGTTTGGTCTTGCTGTTGGTGATGTTGTACTGCTGAGTAACAGAAAAAGGATTAATTCCTTTATACTTCCACCATTCCAAAGCCTGATCCCTCAGCACAGCCCCTTTCCCTTTAAGTTATATACATGTGGAAAATAAACCACAACTTTCTCCAGCAGAATATTTTTAAGGCAATAACTGCGGAGGTGTTGATTTACCACTAAGAATGTAAACAGTTAGAGTTGGAGGCAGTCATCTATATCCTGTCCTCTGCTACATTAATCCAATTCCATTTTAGCTTAGGGCAGCCTAATGTTCATTATCCTTCAAGAAGGTAGGGCCTGCTTGCCAAATATATGCTTTTGCGGTAGTTATTATGCTTCTAAATATTTTTCCATAATTTCCTGTTGCACAGTCCCAGTGTATTTTTTTAAAGAATCATATTTTTTTTTTTTAACTCTATCATTGGTTTGAAACCTCTCATTGCAATTTAATGATGAAGAATAAAAGAAGCAACAGGGTAATACAGTTATGGCAAATGTGTTTGCCTACTTCAAATCAAATGTTTTTTCTTAATTACACACCAGTAAAGTCAGCAGGTTTTATAAATTGGAACTCACAAAGGACATCATAGTGGGTAATGGACATCATAGTAGGTAATGGAGTAAGTCTGACTTTTTGCATTCTTGTTTTAAATAGGGATTTTACTACCTGCTCCTGCACAACCTACAGCCTATCTTTTTCCTTTATCTTTGCCCAAGAGGGCTTGGCTGGCAATCTGAAATTTTAATTCCACCCCAGAACAGAGACACTGTTTTGCACAGGTTTTTGTGCAGCGCGCACACCTCAGTTGCCAGTTGCAGACTTTCCAACTACTCCGGAATACAACCTGGTATAAAACCTGCAGTCCTGGCCACATCCAGGGCGTCACTGTGCTTGGTGCTGTACAAACAGAAAGGGAAGACTGAGAACTTACAACCAAAGCAACTAGAGTAGATAAGTGCCAAAGGGACCAAAGTTCAAAGTGTGAAATAACAAGTAAGGAGTAAGGGAGAAAGGAAGGTATTCAACAGTTGCACCAGCCAGCCCAGTCTCCCTTCACCAGGCTGCATTGCTTACCTAAAAACGTCACACAGAAGATTCTCATTAGTACTTTTCTGATGTCAAAAGGAAAAATACTCACGAAACTATACCACTCAAAGCCTGACCCATCCCTCAAGGGGCTGTATTTGTTACAAAATCACTCGTAAGAGCTAGGATTGCTTAGCTCCTTCATGTACATAGCCCTGAGAAAGAATATATACTATTGTTTGGCCTAATAATGACATCGAGATACTCTAAGTACCTGGAGTTATAAATGGTCCTATTCCATGTAGTAAATTCTACTTTCTTTTTTAATTTAATACAACCTGGCTGTAACAGCACAGAGAATACTGATGCTCATACCAGCAGAAAACCATTTTCCCCAACTGATGCTTTTCAGTGATGAGTTAAGAAAACATTTCTACCTGGCTCCTGTTACTGTGTATGTATTAGTTTGGCTTCTTGGGCCCACTTTAAAATAACTGTTACTGTTTATCCGTTTCTAATTCTTTCTATAGGAGTTGTTCTTCTCTACATTTTGTAGGACTTTTATGACTAAAGTAGTAAGGAAATATACAAGTATATGAACAACAGACTGTCTTCATCTTTTCATCCAAATTGCACCAAGAGGCTAGTCTGTGGAAACAGCTAATGATCCAATCAGCATAAGAACATATTACAAATTGGAATTCTAATAGATAATCTCTAGATGCAGATTTATCATGCAATTATACAGTTGGAGAAATGGAATATTTTTATATGATTGCTTTTTCTGTCGTTGTAGCCTCTTGCAATGATCTCTTTAGCATTTAAATTCCCAGTTGCATTCAACAGACAGGGCTTTGAATGAATGTTACTCGACACGGTGGCCTTCAATGAGGAAGGCAGGAAGGTGGCAATGAGGAAAAAAAGTATGCTACAAATAGGTACAAAGGGACCGCAAACCATGGGATCTCTTTGCATTCTTTGTTAATGTGATGTTGGCAAGTTGTTTTCATGTAGTTCATCAGCTTATGCAATCTGTATATGATATAGTCCCCCAGCAGTGCAGCAGACAAGCAAACTGAAATGACAATAAACAATGAATCAACAACCCCCAACCCCTTGCTAGGGCTTCCTTGCATATGTGGTTTCTGTATCATTTGAATTTCTGCCCTAAAAATGAAGCGCCAGTCTGCTTCCATTGCCAATAAAATCAGAATTATAAATAGCCGATATAGCACAGCTACACTTACTTAGTCATATACTTACTTGTTTGTGACATGTTATGTACTGTTCAGTCCCAAAAGCCCTAAAAAAGAAATACTGTTAGCTGTGAAACAAGGACCAAAACCACAAGTGCTTGTCCCAACATATATTACAAGTTGCATCTGAGGGGAAGGACTGTCTGTTGGGGATGCTTGGAAACACATTCCAAGCTTGGGGTTTCAAATGTATCTCAACTGAAATGTAAAACTTAAGCGAGTTCTACTCTCTACTTCTTATGCCATCCTCCTCCTCTCAGCACTTGATTTTGAGAGGCACATGGTAGCAAAAGCTCACCTTTTTTACTTTAAGCTCAGTCAAAATGAGGTAACTCCTGGGCGCTCGTGGGTGCTCAGCTGTAGCTCTGCACATTCGCATGAGAGCCCAACGGCCAGACAGCAGCACTGACACACTCCCTCTGCTCTCCGCATCAGGCTGGGAGAAACAACCCCTTTTTTTTGGTCTTTGGAGGTATCAGAGGTGCCATATCACCCACACATCTTTGCTGTGCTGTTTTTTGAGATCTCCTCCTCAAATGCCCATCAAAACTGACACAGCATACCAGACAAGAAATGGGCTGTTACCATTAAAGTGGCTGGTCCCACTTCTATATAGAAATATCAGTCATGACCCTTTTTGCTCTTCATGAAATTGGAAGCCAAAGACATATGACAAAATGGGCTGCTGGAACTGTCAGTATGTTTTTATTTAATAGAGAACTTTTCTCATCCATTTTCTAAACAGGCAGTGTTACTTCAAAGGAGAATATAAGAAAAAAGTCATGATCAAAACCACACATACAGAATAACTTAAATAAATGTTTTTCCTTTTGAAGACAACTGAAGTATAGGATAAATAAAATGTATTATATTATTCTGGACATTCTCCATAAGCAGTTCATATCTAATAGTTTCTCCATTAAGTATTCAGGTAATCAATATATATCAGCTAAACTACTCTGGCACTGACTGGGTCTTTAGAAGGTCAAGTTGGCTGGAAAAAATGAGATTTCACTGACGAATAAACCTATAGAAATTAAGTTTCTTAATGTTTACACATCCTTAATTCTCTGTTCTTTAGGAAATGCTTTCTCTCCCTTCTCTCTTGGACTTAAACTACGGCAAACTGGTTTTACCTGAGCAGTGCTGGAAGCTGTTGGTGCCACTGCTTAGTTTAGCTAAGAGACTGAGCAGCACTGGAAAACATTAGGGAACATCCACAAAGCCAACATTAGCCTACTGAGACTAAGCTCCCGAGAAACTCTCCAGAGAGTTGCTCTTTGCTCCTATACAGGAATGTATTTGCTTCACTTGGCTAAATCTAGCATCTGTGAACATCCACACACTGCTTGTGCAAGAAGAAGAGACTTTTGCTATAGTGAAGAAATTCATCTAGGTCAACAACACAGAGGCTGTGGCATCAGTCATGCACAGACACTTATCACGCAGGTCTTACAGGTCCTGTTTTAGCCCAGTGGTTACTGCTTAGATTGACTTGGCACCTCGGAAGCCCACTGTACAGCACTGCATAGACCAGAGGAGCAAAATGTATCTGTGACTTAGAGATCTCACAGCCTAGGATAATGTCATAAATAGTAGTCCTTCCCTGCAACAGAGTAAGACTGCAGTAAGTGGAGCTGTTTCCTCTCTTCATGCCACATCCCAGCATAGTCCCAATGTCATAAAAGAATATAGCTTTAACTATTTAACTATTTAACATTAACTACATAGGCAAAGAGAGCAAATTTTAGTTCACTGCATTAGACATTAGCTTTTTGTTTAAGACACTGAGTTGAAAAATCAGTTTCCTTCTGGTCTTTCTCATTAACACCACTTGTCTACAAAATTACTGGAAAACACTTCAGTAAGGTACACTCCACCTAAAATAACTGAGCAGCTTTGACGATGATCAGCTCCATCTTAATCTGAACCTTAATCCAGTCAAGCTTTGTATCTGTTTTTCTGAGAATGCCTTCTCTTTCTTGTCACGGAAATATTGCCAACTCTAACTATTTCACATCAAGTCTTATTTAGTGTCTACCCTAAAACCTCCGTTCCTATAGGCAAGTAGTTAAAAGAAAATCTTAGTTTTCCTTTGCAGAGTTTCTAGGTCTCATACTTGCAGAAAAAAGCTTGAAAACAGGAATCATATCAGCTTAAAGAAAGCAAGTAAAAAAACCCTCAAAGGCACTTTTTAAAAAAATTCTCACGACTTCTATGACAAGCTTATAATCTGAAGAGGAGAGGCAGGACTCTGACTCATGATTTCTAAGTCCTTGAGGTTCAAATGTAAGGATTCTTTTTCACCTTCTTTTTTCTCTTCTGCTTTTCTACTCTTGTACTTTGCATGAGGAACGAAGGTGCCCAAATTTCTGGTAGAAATCGTCTTCAGCACGGATCAGAGCTTCCTCATCAATGTAGACAACTGGTCTCCTGGAAGCCAAAAAGTACTGCACTTTCCGCAGGCTCCATCCCATCACGTACTTCAGCCAGCCACTGACAGCAGCTGTAGACCTGCCAACACCCGCGTTGCAATGAACGTAGACAGTGTGTCCATTCTCCAGTAGCCCGTGCAAGAGGCAGACAGCTTGTGGCAACATCTGTATTCTTCCTAAGGTTAAAAACAAGGCACGTTCATTTGCATTTGAGAAAGCTAGGTTCACGGTTGAGATTATGTCTGTACAGCCTGATGCACTGTGAATCACAATGGCAAACCTGACATATTTGGGGTTTTTTCTTTTTTTTTTCCAAATGACCTTCTACCCTAACCTTTGTTTCTTCTGGCAACATAGACTCAGATCACACAAAATCTGTAAAATGCCCCAGTTCTTCTCTAAGTATACATCCTGATTAACACTGAATGTGTGTGGCATATTCTTTTTCACAAGGACTGAGATAGGGCAGCAAATTGCATCAAACAGCACATCTTACATAGCATTAAAGTTAGCAAGCCAAAAGCACAATGTTTTTTAGTACCAGAGGTTTGTGAAGCTACCTATGTACTGCTGCTTTCCAAAACATTGTAATGAAGGCCACTATGTCAATAATAAGTGAGGGAGGGAGAGCAGAGGAGTATTTTCCTGTACAACTTAATACTGTTATGGTTTAATTGTTTGCTAAGCATATGGTTAAACAACACAGAACGGTCTTTCTCAATCCCAAAAGGACAACTCTACCACATTTCCTGATGCCTTTCCCCCTGTTACCCCAGGAACTGAAGCTGCAAACATCAGAACCTAACATTTGCTCATGGCACAGATGAGCACTGACATTAAGCCCTTTCACATCCCTGTTTTAAGGTTTCCTGTCTTCCCTGATGTCCTATTCCTGATAAGACAGTTCTCTAATTGTGGCAGCAGTATTTCACTCTGTTGAAAGCACTCTCTTCTGGTAGGCTACTCGCTTGGAAACACGCACACTTTCTAACCTACTGGTTGGAAACAAGATTTTGAACTGAGCATTCCAATGGAGGAATTAAAAATATGACATGAGGTGCTATGGGTATTCTAAATGTATTGCAAATAATTATATATGACTCTATGGAGACTTGTAAGACTGGGATACTATAGTTAAAGAAAAATTATTTGCTGGGGGAGGGGAATAGCAGAGACAGACATACAGCGCTGTCTCTCCATTTTTAACCAGCAAGGATGGCAAGCTGTCCTGCTGTGCAAGCTTGCAGTCTTCCACCTACACAGCATATTTTCATTATACAGGCTGAATTCAAGCTGAAAGCAAAACAGTCAAGCAGTTATCAATGTCATATACCTTTAAACTCAAATACACATATACTGCCAGACATGAAGTACTTTAGATGGCCTCTCCATCTACAAGAAAATATGGATAATTTGTTAGAGACAACACACACAGAAATTACACCTTGTGTGTTAGCTATATTTTCACACAAAATTTACATAGAAAAAAACGCAGTCATGAAAGTGACAGATTAGTAACTCAAAGGGTTTGTTACTATTAATTTAGCTGCCAGAGTGGTCTGAGCATTACCTTCAGTGCTCATGTCTGGGGTTGGCATCCAGACATAGGCAAGACCTTCCTCTTTATACAGTTTCATGAGTATTTCAGGGCTCATGGGCTCCGGGTAGCGGTTGCAGCCCCAGGAATTCTGAACAATGTCCCATTCGGTCTGGAAGTTCATCACTGCTGTAACACCCAGCTCGTGCTTCAGCTTCACAGTCACATGCTCCAGCTGCCGAGGGCAACTTCCCAGCCAGATGTTTGGCAGAATTCTAGCATTGAGAAAACATTGCAGTGGGATCGATTAAAATATCTTAACAAAGAAACTGCCAAGTTCAGCGGCTTTCCAGCTCCAAACCTGCTTAGCATCATCACGCAAACACTGCTAAGCACAGCCTTTTCACATCATGCAGTGAGTAGCTCCTTATTTCATTGCAGTTTAGTTAGTAATGTTTGATGCTGGGGATCAAGTTCCTAACCTACCACAAAGAGCCAGACGGTCTGAGAAAAAATGCAGAGCATAATTAGGAGCACAGGTCTCCAAGGCATCCATCATTAAGCTTGCAGTGGAAACTTACTAACATCACAGATTAGAATAAGAGAACTCCGAAGATTCATGCAATTTGCACCAAAAAAAAAGAGACCTAAAAGATTCACATGATCCAGATCTGAATTACTTTAGTAATAAGCCAAACACATAGAACTCTTCCAGCTTCGTAGCTACTGCTATAATGAAGAAAGTAGACAGAAAAAAAAAAAACCAACTTAAACTACCCTTCCGTGAGGAAACTCAAAAATGAGTAATTTTCTTCTCATTTTACTCTGCTCTTGTGGAGTCTAGTGGGAACCAAATGCAGAATTACAATACTTGTCTAGCTTCCCTCAAGGCCTGAAGAACGATAAGTTTTGCAAGAAAACTCGAGAGACGTGTAGGATGGGTAAACATCCATATTTCTGATACTTATCAAATCAAACTTCAAAACTTCTATGGTTTTACCATTGTTAATTATCATAAAACTATTGTATGTCTCAACAGATTTTGACATAAATATAAACTGAATATTAAGAGGCTTGTTTTCAAATGAGGATTTTTAATCTGCACATGCAATTAAATTGATGGTATCTTCAATGGATTATCTACATGCACAAATTATTAGCGATCTATTTTAGGTTTTTTTGTTCGCATAAACTTCTATTTTGAACATGCAATCCACAAACTACACAAAATATCCCTGCAGTTGAACATACAACTCTGCAAACATTAACTGCAAAAAAGTAAAGCCAACCTACAACAAAAGCAAGATCCTCAAAAATAAAATGTCTGCCATGCATTTCTTATGGTCTTGTCCAATTTTAATCTCAGAGACAAGTAAGAAAAGTCTTACATTTATTCAGGAGCAGTTACTCCTATAAACAGCCCTTAAATCATCAGGTGGCTACTTCCATTCCACTATCCCAGTAATAAGTGCTTACTAGCATTTAATTAAGACCTGTAATTGACAATGATTAAATCCTGCTATGTTACTACTGAAAGATTGTCAAAAAGAAAAATTCAAATCCAGGAAGCACTTTTTATTATTGTTTCCTGTGTTTCAGCTGCATCCACAGTGAGTTTCATATCAGCTACACAAACACAGCCTTTAGCCTTAACAGCCCGTTTCAGTGAGACAATGCGCTTGATCTCGGTATATGGTAACTGAGTCCAATTTAGACAAATATATTCCATAGCAAATAACCATTTCAACCATGTTTCAACAGTGAGATCGTCTGAAGAGATTTGACTTAGTTGTCGTGTCACATCCATGTTCTGGTCTAGAATGCAGTGAGAGTATTTCCCACTGCTAACAGAAAATGCATTTGTTCCTAAGCAGCAAGCAAGCTTTAACCCAAAATTTCAGAAATTAACATTTACACCTTGAAGTCATTTCCTCTGTCACTTTTCTCACACTCCTGAACACTACCTTTCTAAAGAAGAGAAGACATGGAAAGAAAGAAGTTCTAATAGACAGGCTCTGGATTTCTTAAGTTACAAATTATATTCAGTTCATTTATTAAGAAATATCAATACCCAGTGGACTCCATGGCAACCTGAAGGAAATCCAATAAAGCATGACAATTGTGTATTACCATTATGTTCAAGGCACAATCCCACATGCTGGTACAGGAAGGGAGCTTCACAAAATTGCCCAAAATCCGGCATAACCAGCTAGAGCATTCCCACTGACCAGAGGGACTAGCGAAGGCCCACTGCAACAATTGCTTCGCTGCCCCACTTGCCCGTGTGCCAGCCCCACAGCAAACCCCGTCCTAACCTGAAAGAGTGACCGCTGTCAGGCTTCTGCCACAGGGATCCAACGCAATGACTAGAGCAATTCAAGGTGGCGAATGTAAGTTAAAGTGCCCTAACAGACGTTGATGAGTGGCTGGAGATGAGCAATGCCCATAAAACTCCACAGCAGAGAAAGAAAAATGGCAGTATCACTAATACCTTGTGACAATATGAGAATATTCTTTCAAGAACAAGAACATCTATATCCTTCCTTCAAAGGCTTTCCTGGAGGCTCATACATATGTAATTCTCTTGATATTTTGGGAAATATCTAATACAATAAGTTACCACGACAGGAGAGCAAAAGTGTGTTTTCTAGCATTTGATTGAATCAGGAGTGACTAAAGCATTCCTGAGATAAATAAAATTCTGGGTAGTACTCTTGCTTGTAGATAAATCAATGCTTTATAATTTTTTCCCCAATAATTATTTAGTGGGTGAACATCACAGCAGCACTATCTGCAAGACCACTGGGATATACACCATTTGTTTATTCTGGTTTTGTAGCCTAAAGGGTCTTGTCCATGATGAGACCTCCTGTATTTCACAATAACAATTGCATTTACTGAAGAATCTGATGGGTTTACCAAGTTTTTATCACTGTCTTTCCCTATAATTAACTAAACCAGTGGTGGCATTCAGAGAATGACGAAAACAACGTGTTTAGGGCAGCCAATTCTTGTGAATTATTTTTCTGATCAGGTCCTAGAGTTTAGCTTTTGAGAGGATCAAGATCCAACCTTGACCTTGGTCTTCATCTTTTCTCTACCCTCTGCCTCGTGACAAGGCACATCGCTTTAAATGGTGATACCACTGGATTATGATGACCCAGAACTATCATCTCGCATGTGCTCCTTCTTTTGCCATTGGCATCCTTTTAACAACATATAGCAGCTTATTCTTAGGTATTTGCATGCCTCTTCTGGGCCTTCCTTGTTCTTTTCTCCTGAACCTGTGACAGTGAAAATGCTAAGAGCACTTGCTAGAAATCAGATGAGGTTCCTGCACCTTTGTCAGAGCAATCTAGAAACATTGCTTAGATTGCTATCTAATGTCCTGAAATGCATTTACAAACAGACAAAGATTGTCAAGTGACAACATTCTGCTCTCCCGTGGAAGATCTGGACATGTTCAAATATTGCTTGATATGTAGAAAGCACACTGATGACTATCCTTGCCTTCAGAAATACTTTCCTAATGTCCAACATGAATAGCGCAGTCACAGGTCACAGTGACTTCTTGCCTCCACAATGGACACAAAGAACAGATTATTCCTTTCCACTCTGCAAAATCCATTTTCCTATCTGAAAATTACTAACACATACACACACACAGCGCCTTTTATTCTTCACACACACACACAAACAATTGCTTGTCATATATTCAAAACATTTGATGATTCTTGTTTGCCTTTGGGCTCTCCAGCTGGTCAACATCTTTCTTAAGATGTTATGCCCAGTACTGGAAAGAGGTCTCACCATTTCTGAGTAGAACTGAAGATTAGTTACTTCTTGTGCCTCAAAGGCAATATCCTTTTTAGGATTTTTATCCTTTTTAGGAATTTATAGTTCCCCAATTGTCCTTTTACAGCATGATGCTGTTGAGCTATATTCAACATGGAATTCTGTTTGCAAGTTAAGATCTCTCACAAGAGACGAGCCTACTCAAGGAGAGAGTAAAATCTGCCCAAACCAGAATTATTTAAGATTTTATTAGTTACAACTGCCAGTGGTATCAAATAAAACTAAATGAATATGCAGCAAAGGAGCAGATGAAATTCACAGTTGAATGCACCTCAGTAATACGTCCCAGAATAAATAATCTCAGCCATTCACACACATCACTGGGTTTTAAGTTAACTATAATCAATTAGAAAGGGAAACACTGCATGCTTGCAGTGATGCTTGTGAAAGTGTTGCTTCATAGAGAGGTGTCCTGGTTTCAGCTGGGATAGAGTTAATTTTCTTCTTAGTAGCTGGTATAGTGCTGTGTTTTGGATTTAGTATGAAAATAATGTTGATAACACACTGATGTTTTAGTTGTTGCTAAGTAGTGCTTACACCAGTCAAGGACTTTTCAGCTTCCCCTGCTCTGCCCGGTGCACAAGAAGCTGGGAGGGGGCACAGCCAGGGCAGCTGACCCAGGCTGGCCAAAGGGCTATTCCATACCATATGACGTCATGCTCAGTATATAAGCTGGGGGAAGAAGAAGGAAGGGGGGGACATTGGGCGTGATGGCGTTTGTCTTCCCAAGTAACCCTTACGCGTGATGGAGCCCTGCTTTCCTGAGGATGGCTGAACACCTGCCTGCCGATGGGAAGTAGTGAATGAATTCCTTGTTTTGCTTTGCTTGTGCACGCAGCTTTTGCTTTACCCATTAAACTGTCTTTATCTCAAGCCACAAGTTTTCTCACTTTTACTGTTCCGATTCTCTCCCCCATCCCACCGGGAGGGAGTGAGCAAGCGGCTGTGTGGTGCTTAGTTGTTGGCTGGGGTTAAACCATGACAAGAGGTCAAAGTGGTAATATTAGCCTATACACAGAAGTGAACTGAAAATAACAGAAAATTTCTAGTAACCTTCTAAAAATCAATGATCCCATTCTATGCACTCCAACTTTGAACTTTCTATTAACTATTTTATTGTATCAAAAAAGATACAGAAAAATGAAAACATTCAAAATACAGGAGCTGCCAGCTATTTCTTGTGAAAATAGTATCATATGAGGGCAGACTAAGAATTTAGCATATTTAGGAGGGAATTGGATAAAATATATGGGAGAGGCAAATCAGCTGGCCCTATCTATATAAAAGAGGTAAAGAATCTCAACTTCCATATAGTTTTACCTATAAAGCAACTACTAAGAGATGAGAAAAATGGCAGATTTTTTTAATATTTTGTTTTTATTCTTGCATCTTCCTCCAAAATACTGACAACATAGGCAAA